CACTGTAGATGCACCTGCTCGTGTGCAGAGTTGGCATGAGCAGGGGAGAATGAGACAAGGAATGGAGCGCACCCGATGGAGATACCGATCATGGGGGCGATGTAACTCAGCCCAACAGAGCTCGCTTTGAAGTTGTACGGCGCACCGCTGAGAATGAGCGAGGCGGTCGCGTTCATCACGTTGTACCATATGAGAGAGCCACCGTACTGGAATCCCGCCCTGTTAAATCTCTCGTCAGCACAATGCTCCAATTTGGACGGGAATGTGTAGTGACATGCCAGAAGATGATGGGGAAGCGCAGGAGGAGGAGTGGGCGGTACATCATACGGACGAGCATCTTGTTGTCGTAGAAACGCCTGTTAAAGACCGCAAGTCGCGAGACGAAACTGCGCGGGACGCCGACGAGGTTGTTGAGCCGCGCGCTGCTGCCGTCGTCCGCGTACTTGATCTGTACAATGCGCAATCTGAACATGATGATACTGCACACAATGGACGTGTGCATACTTTTTCCTCTTCGACAATCGCGGACTCAATAGTCTTGCGATTGTAGTTGCTCTAGAGACACGTGAGATAGGTGCAGTTTCAAATCGTTGCGGCTGACGCACCTCCTCGAGGAAGAAGAACATAATGACCAGTGAGCCGAAGTTGATGATCGCACACCAGTACATGACCCAGGACCAGCCCTGCCCATCATAGATGAACTGCATACAACTCAGCATAATGCCATGCATCACGCATTCTCGACGACTTACTCCAGAGATAAGGGGTGTGAAGAAATTCGAGCTAGACGCCCAATTCAGCTTAAGCTGCGAGTGAGAGACGATCTGCGGAGGCTTACCCGAAGAGGAAGAGCGTATAGATGCCGATGTACGTTCCTCGCTCGTGCGCGAAGAACTTGCAGAGAGCCACGTAAGGGACGTAGAGGTGAAGTGGACTTCATACTCACAACATCTCCAATCTGAAAGCAGAGTATAAACAGCTAGAAGACGGTAGAAATCAACTTGATGTTACGGACCGATACTTCACATAAAGACTCTACGGGGTTGCAGAAGAACCCCTGGATGATCTTGCTCGCGATCCTGCGTACGATTCAGCTAGGACAGAGCGTAATGCGATTATATAAAACTAACCATTGCCCGTCGGTCCTTATATATGGCACCCACAAACACATGCCCTACGGCTGAAGTTAAGCACGCGTGCATACGACAGAGATAATAAGTACACACGATACTGCCGACCATTGAGATGAGATATATGCCGCGCTTGCCGAACGTCATTGCGAGAGGTTGGTTGATTAGCCCACCCCAACCGAGGACTATGGAGACTCAGAATAAAATGGCGATAAAAGGAGAAACAGAATGTCTCACAAAGGAATGCTGTGTCGCAGGTCAGTACGGGTTTCCAAGAAAGACACGAAGAGTATGACATACTATAGCCTGTGCCCGCATTTAGAGTAGAGAGTGGAATGCCAGTTTCATCGGAGATGGGCAGGAGAATAGAGTATAGCGCTGTCGTTGCGATCCCAACGGCGCTTGTATCTTTCTGTGCATCAGTGGAAGTCATACAGACAAAGGGCTCACACACAGATGATGAGGCAGACAAAGTGGATCATCTTGCGCGTCTTCGTCCAGT